TCACACAAGTATCTGATTTACAGTAAGATTTTAATATTTGGAATCTTTTAAAGGATCGAAACCCATCACAAAATATTTTAATAGCTGTATAATCCATTTTTACATGAAATATTTTTAGTTCATACAATTTCCGCTGTAATTAACCTATTTTTACCTACAACATACTAATCAAAAACAAAAGGTACAACACTATATGAATAAGGGAAGCCCTGTTCAATACATAGTGTACCATATTGGACAACACGAAGACCACTTAATCTGATATTTCATTTTTAATAAGGATATTACTGGTCACATAGAGACAACATATGAGTAACGAGAATTATTTTATTTCTTAAAATTTTAACATTTTATATCAACAAACGAGCTATTATATATGTGAAAAAGGGAAGCCCTATTCACAAACAACACTCTAAGGATACTTAATCTCTATACAGTGAGCATAGATTTTAATCATTGGTTTAGTTTTAGATATGCTTATAGAATTATTGTAAATATAGATACATTTTAGCGGTTTCACCACAAACACTTTTACCAAATCCGAGAGAGTTTTTCTAAACATCAAGCTAGAAACTCATATAAAGAAAAGGACATATACATAAAACAAACTAAAGAAGGGAAAATGGACTCAATCATGAATGATAGATCTGACATACCTGATATATCAATAGCAAACCACTCACTGAACAAAACAACTAGTTCGGATGTATGTAGACAAAAAACTTTCACTTTAAATTTGGATAAAGCAGTCTCCAAAAAAATTCTGGCTACGAAAAGAGAAGTTCATATTATTTACGAACAAACAAAAGGTGGAGTAGTGGGCACTGCAGATGCAGTTACATTTGAACTCATAAAAAATGCCATCCCTCATTACTTTAATACAACAATAGCAAATAATCGACATGTGAAGGTAACAGAAGATCAGGATACAAGGGGTCTTACTGTTAGTAAGGTAATTAAAGTATATGAGAAAGAACAACATCAATATACTATCACACTATATTACACGAACTGCAAATTTTTGGTCAATGGAAGAGCAGTCCATATCTTCACGAAAGAAGACATACCAGAAATACATAAAATCATAAAAGAGGTAGTCCTAAATGGCAATAAAGTGAATCTAAAATCACTAAACGAGAAACTAGAAAAAGAACTATATAAACTATCTGGTTTAGAACAAACACCTCAAGATGACACAAAGTTACCGACTCAACAAGCTATAATGGACCAACCCTGCAAAATCATACAAGATCAAAATGGTGCTAAATGTAGCAAATGCAAGCGAAATGTACAAACAAGGGCAATTTTTTGCGACAAAGGGCAACACTGGATTCACTATAGATGCATAAAACTGTCTGAATCTGAAATACAAACTGTTGAAAAATTATCTGAAATAGACTATTACACATGTAAGCTATGCTTAACAGATAATCAGACAAACAACATAATGGGATCAAACACAGTAAAGTCCATAGCTAATGCAATTATGGACTCTAATCAATCAGATAAGAATCACAACTGTCATGATAGAATACAGGCTCTATTAGACGAAGAAGTACACAACGTATGCAATATATGCAATAACATTATTGATACACAAGTTATACGTTGCTCAATCTGTACTCAACCATGTCATATTTACTGTGCGTCATATAATGGTTTCGAGTACACGTGTGTAAATTGTGAAATAAACATTGATCCAGATGAACAAACAAAAGTAATGACATTAACGTCTCCAACGCAGGCAAGTGCCTCACATTATACTACAAAAAATCCAGGGTTTGACTTAAGTCAAGAGAACTGTATACTATCAAACCCTATAACGCAGATACCCACAACATGTACCAATGTTTCTGCTCAAGACGACTCCTTACAGTGTAACAACGGGACAATTAGTCAAAACAACTATGTAGATCCTGAGAACATTAATCAAACTACTCAACATCCAAACACAGATGGAGATCTATCCAAGAAAACAAAAGAACTCAAAATGAGTGACTTAAGGCAGAGAGAACAAAAACTAAAGAAAAGAGAGGAAGAACTAAAGATAAGAGAAAAACTAAATGAAGAAATGCAAACGGAAAGAATATGGTTACAATCCTACGTCACAAAACTCGAAATGAAAATTAATGAGTTAGAAAACTCAAATAAAATATTACAGAAAAAATGTGAGCTGATCAATCTTACAGATGATAAACAATATCAACATACTCCTCATGATCATGGCTCCTCAAGCAAATATATTGAACAAACAGTTACGAAGCTACATGAGAAAGTCTCGGGATTTATCCTCAAACAGATGGATACCCAATTTGACAATATTATCAACCAATTTAATGAAAATGTCAATAATACCTGTAACTCGCAGCCAACTAATCAAAGGAAAACAACATGTACTGACAACTCTGATTTACAAAATAGTACACCAATCATCCAAGGATCACCAATGACTGGTTCTGTTCCTACAAGTAACACTGCAGTACCGAGGTCAAAAACAGCGACTACGAGTAATCATTCTAGCTACAATTTACAAACTCAAAATCAAAGCAAACGTTGCACGAAACCCCAAATAGTTAACACTAGTATACCACCGACTCCACTATGGGGACAACCTATATATTTTAATGAACAACAGTCAATACCTATACATCAACCTCTACACAATGGATACATAAACCAAATTCCTCAAACAACTACAATCAACAGAGATCCATACTACAACAATCCCCAGCATTTGTCACAGAATAGCTACATGGAAAGAAAGTCCCATTTGACTGCTCCAAATTCCTTCCATAATATGTTTGATCAACCACCTCAGCAAAACCAGAATCATTTTTTAGGGATACGTCAAAATCAACTATAACTTGCCCAACTCCTATTAAGACGACTCCACAGCAGAGTGAACTACGAATTTTATCTTTTAATTGTAAAAATGTAAAGACTATAGCCCCATTTATTGAGAACATGAGAAATCAAGTAGATATTATATTACTTCAAGAGCATTGGTTATTCGATCATGAGCTTAATCTCTTAGATGAATTAAATTCACATTTTTGTGGCAAAGGAAAGTCGATTAACTCTGGGAAAAACACATGTGATTTATTGATAAAATCAGTCAGGGGATATGGAGGTGTGGCCATAATATGGGACCGCTCAATTGATCAGTATGTAAAACCCATAATTGATGGAAACAATAGAATTCAATGTATTGAACTAGCCCTAAAAAATCCGATTTTATTAGTCTCTGCATATCTGCCAACAAAAGCAGAAAATGACAAATTTGAAGAGTTCAGTGAATGTATAGACCAACTATTTGAGATTATTCAAAAATATGAGCTTACACATAACCTCGTAATTGGAGGAGATTTCAATGAGGATATTTCAAAAATAAATAACTCAAGAAGAGCATTAAAATTGAAAAAATTGATAGATGAATGTAACATGAAAGTAGATTTTAAAGGTCCAACCTTCATCAATGTTAAAGGAGAAGAAATCTCTGAAATCGACTACTTCATATACAAGACAGAAGTCATTCACAAAACCTCAAGATTAACTGATGTAGCATCCAATGTATCTGATCATCATCCGATCATGATCACACTTCCATGTAAATTTTTAAAGAAAGATGACATATTAGAGAGTAATGTACAATCAAGAATTAGATGGGACAAAGTTGATATTAATCAATATACTAATATTATAGCACAAGAAATTCCTATGTTAAAGGAAAAATTACAGAATCAACAAAATTCAGTTACGACCACAATAGAACAAACCATGGAAATGCTTTCAAGTACGGCTAAGAAATGCTCCGCTCAAAAAACGTATGGGAAAAACAAACTGAAATTAAAATTATGGAATCAGGAGATTAAACATACTTTACATCAAAATAAAATAGCATACAAGAATTGGAAAAATGCGGATAGACCGAATGACCCTGAACATCCACTGGTTATAGAAAAAAAGGAAACTAGAAAACTATTTAGAACTGAACTGAGAAAGGAAGAAAATAAGCGCAAACATATAGAAAGAGACAGAATTATAACTGCAAATACGCAGAATAAAAGACTGTTTTACCAACTTATTAAAAAACAAAGAAATAACAAAAACATCTTTATTAATGATTTACATGTATCAGATAAAACATATGAAAATGAGGGGGTGATTAATGGATGGCACAATCATTTTAAAACCCTTGCTGAACCAATCCAGAATAGTACATATGATTCCAAACATCAGAAATTATGTGATGTAGATTATCAAGCAATAAAATACCTATGCAGTCAAACTTCACCTAGAATAGTAACAAAATCAGAACTCCTTGAGGCAATTAAATCTATAAATACAGGAAAATCAGAAGATATCTTTGGTCTGTCAATTGAGCATATTCTAAATGCAGGAGATGACTTCACAGATTATCTACTTTGTCTGGTTAATAACATTATTCATGATAAATTATTACCTGAAATAATTAAATTAGGACTATTATCTCCTATATTTAAAAACAAAGGAAGTAAGAATGACACTAAGAACTATAGAGGAATTGTTGTGTTACCCATTCTATGTAAAATCATTGAATATATCGCCAGAATAGACTTTAGACCAATATTACTTGAAAAACAATCCCCACTACAAAGAGGATTTACACCAAATACTTCCCCATTAAATGCAGCAATTATATTTGAAGAAATATACAGAGAGTACACCGACTGTAATAGTCCTTTTTACATTGCGCTACTCGATGCTAAGTCGGCATTTGATGTCGTCATCATAAATATGCTGATGAGAAAGTTATTTTTACTAGATATAGACCCAGCAACTTGGTCCATAATTGACGAACTTCATAAAAATACAAGCTGTAGTATCAAATGGAAGAATCAACTATCCCAGGAATTCAAAGTATATCAAGGGGTCAAACAAGGTGGATTGTTAAGTGCTGACCTGTATAAACTATACATAGAAGACTTGCTATCATTATATGAAAACTCAACACTAGGCTGTAAGATAGGTAACATCAATATCAATGCTGTTGCATGCGCAGATGACATTGCACTACTCAGTGATAATCCTTATGACCTACAAATTTTGGTTAACCATGCCTTACAATACAGTCAACTCCATCATTATACTCTACAACCTCAAAAAAGTGTCATTATCCAAGTAGAGAACAAAGCAAAGAAAACAGCTAATCATAATTGGAATTTTAATCTTGATAACAAAGAAATGCCAAATTTGGACAAATCCACACATTTAGGAATAATTCGTTCAACAACTAAGTCAAAATCAGATAATCACAATATAGAACAAAATATCACAAAAGCTCGCAGAACAGCATACAGTTTACTATCAGCCGGTTTTCATGGGAATAACGGTCTAGATCCGATAACATCTGTATCAATATATAAGACATACATCCAACCTGTCTTAACGTACGGTCTAGAAGTAGTACTTCCGAACTCAACAAATATGCAAAAATTAGAGCTGTTTCAAAAAACAATATTGAAGAAAATTTTGTCATTACCTCCAAATACCCCAGATCCAGCAATCTACGTTATCTCAGGTTTACTTCCTATAGAAGCACAAATTGACACAAAAAGTCTAACCTTATTTAATAACATATGCAGACAAAATGATAGATCAAAAGAAAAACAACTTGCATATAGACAGCTGCTTATCAAACCAGACAATAGCAATAGTTGGTATATAGCCATCAAGAAATTATTATATAAATATGACTTTTCTGATATCATTCAATTCCTTGATAATCCACCGAAGAAACTTGAATGGAAAAATATCATACAGAAAAAAGTAGATCTGTATTGGATCCATAAAATAATTCAAAACAGTAGATCATATCCAACGTTGACATATTTAAATTGTGATATATTTTTACCAAGAAAAAATCATCCAATTATTGATCTCAATATTGACAACAATCCGTCAAAAGGTGCGCTATCGATTGCGATTAAACTTAAATTAGTCACTGGAACTTTTATGACACAAATCAAACGTGCTAGCTTTACAAAAAGTGAATCTCCTTTATGTAAACTCTGTGACGATGAAGATGAAGATATTGAACATCTACTATTAAAATGTAAGGTTCTAGAACCTATAAGAAGTCCCTTCATAAATCAAATTGAAGATAATATACTTAAAGATGCGTCCATTTCCTTTTACAAATTGTCTGCAAATACTCAGACACAATTAATTATGGACTGTACTAAACTTAGACATCAGAAACCAGATTTATTATTGGATAGAAAAACAGAACAACTATGTGAACTAATTTCCAGAAAGTTGTGCTATGCACTGCATAGTATAAGAGCTAGAACCATAAGTATGCAGAAGAAACACTCAAAATAAGTGTATACTGATTGAGTATTAACTGATTCAACAGAACTAGTGACAGCAATTAAACAAACAATTGCGGACCTGTATATAAACTGTATATATATATTTGTATGATATTCTGGATGGTGGAGGGTCGTATGTACTAATGCACTCTACTAAGAGGTTGTCCTGAAGGACGGAGAAAGATTCAGCGGTAAGGTAAGGTAAGGTATATTTCACTGTACTTACAAGTATGATTCTAATTAATATCATGGATATTGTTCCTGTGATTTTGTAATTTCAATTTCAATGAATATACAATAACTTCTTCCAAGCCGGGCAATATTTACGATAACCTTTATTTACAATGTTAAAACTGGTACTGTTCCCTTGTTCATGTTCATGTTTTTTTTTACATTAAATTTGGGTCTTCGTCGATACCATACTTATTCCAGACGTTCCGTATTAGAGGACGTTTCTGGCATTTTCTCTGCACTTGTATTATTATTACTTCATCACGATGACAAGAATAGCAGTAGAGAGCAACGTTAATTGATAAGGCACAACAACAATTCGCTGAAGGCATGTTTACAAAATGTCAAAACGAGCCAAAGACCAAAAAAATTGACAAGGACAGTTAAGCCCCTTTTATGGAGACAAATACTATGCTATTCATAAAAAAGCTTTTGGATTTTTCAATCGAAACAATAGCAAGCTTACTTAAAAGATTATAATTAGAGAAGAATTCTCGCCTGTACTAGCCAATTTTCACAAATTTAAAGTTGTTTATAAAAAATTATATCATGAATGATGGTTAATTACGTTTTTTGGGTAATCAGTCATACCGCATGTTGCTATTATTGCCATAGGAAAACACCCGAGACGTCCCAAAAATATATAGGTGCTCCTATCATTGGAGTAAACACTACACAGTTGTGTACTCACACATGGCGGCATGAAATACTATCGGAAATCCATTTGACGATATCTCAACGTTTCAAAACGAAGTGAAAAATATCATGCGCCACGCGGGCGCTTACATTTGTCACTCTATGCGCCATTTCTGGTCGATAAGCGCAATTGGCACAAGGCGCACGTCCTTCCCGATCACTGTTATGTTTGAGCCTTTTGCATTATATAAAACCGCTTCAGATTTAGTTGGATTGATTTTAACTAGATCTCTGCTTGTATGGTGCTGTACTATGTCTATTATTCCTTGTGCGTCTGCAGTACTATTTGCCAGGACAGCAATGTCATCGGCACATGTGGGTGCAGGGACTTGTATATTACCAATACATACTCCAAGTCCACTTTTTAAAATGCTATCCAGTATGTACGTTGTTGTAGCATTTATATAGCGTTGTAGATAGTTTTGCACCTTGTTGAATTCCTTGTAACACCATTACATCTTCTGTACATTAATATACAATATTTTCATTTATTTATAATTAATTTTCACAATTCAAAACATGTTAAGGTTCATCATAACAAATGGACAAAAATGGCTGTATTTACACCTCAAAAACTACTCGGAGTACAGACTCTCCTGTGCAGTTGGAAAAGTTTTAAGGCCTGGCATCCACTAGATATATAAAAGTTACATGCATTTTGTGTTTCAGAAAGATAAAATCTTTTTTGGATTTTGATGGGCATTTGTTTTAAAACTATATTAACTCGCGTGCTCTTATACATAAACTCATATGAGGATAACGAAATCAGAGATCTATATTTTAATTAGATTGATGTTGTTACAAGCCTCTTTTTGTAGATAATATTTAACTTCATGTCAATTGTAGGCCAATTTATGCTCAATAAGGCATATAAGTTTGTAAGATAGATTGATTAACCTGTTTTTAATTGTCTATTTGTTTTCATAACTTTGATGGACAACCCTCCCCATTTACACCGTTTGCAGTCTTTCTTATTTCTATAAAGCATAGATATACTCAGATCTGCTAATTAAATTCATTAAACGTTAATATTACACCAGTTTTGGAACTAAGTACAATTTTATGTGCTTCCACACTCACCAAAAGAAAACTGGATATTTTGCCAGAAAATCATTATGAACACCTTCTATCAAAAGACAGAAAAATAACATTTTGGAAGGACAACTTATACATGTTAATATCTAAAAAAACATCTCAAGAGATCACTTGTATTGAATCTTATGAAAAAAATCCTAATTTGGAAATTTTAATAGGTCAAGGTCACTGTTGTTTAACAGCTGAATGAAAATTGTAAATGTGCACCCTATAAGTACAAATGTCAATCTCGAACCATATTTGGCAACATAAATATCAAATTAGTCCTAAATAAAGAAACTATAGTTATGATCCTTTGAATTATTCAAATTTATTTTGCTTTAAACGCATATATGTAGGGGCGACCAGGTGTCTAAACGTGACTCTGCGTTTTCCTTGAAATTTTAGCTTTGACCTTTGACCCAAATTTAAGAAAATCGTGACCATTTTAGACTATGACGACATCACTATTTCGATGAGGCTTGTTCTCCTCTTTTCAATGATATCAAATGCAACCGTGTGTTATTCCGTTTACCCAAATCAATAAAATTCGTTGACTGGGCACCCTACTATAAGAGACTAAACAATTTGTGTTTTCATATGACAGTGGTATACTACTGTTGCCTTTATTTATAATATGCCATTTATATGCACACCGTTCAGCAAGGCTAAATATATTTATATGTACCTAAAACAGTCACATTCTATACATGTATATCAACAGATGAAGTATCCAGGAAAAAAAGTAAAATCTACAGAACGTCCGAAAAACTCAACTTTAGAAAATGAACAATTTAAATATGTTACAGGCAACCATTTCTTAAAAACTGCATAGTAAGCATGGACTATTATCAAATTGTTCTAACAATGTGGAGAAATAAAACAAAACATTTGTTATTTGATTTTTACGGATGCAAAGTTAAGCATGGATGCAACTTAGGTACTCTTCATCACAGAATCTTGGGTCATCTGGAGGAAGGTTCAAATACATTTTTCTATGATTCAGTATGGATTCAAATTTAATTTGTGTGAACCTTTATTGTAAATAAGGATACATCTTCAAAATAAATGCAGAATGGAAACTTTTGTGTGTTTCTTAAATAGACATGGTTGAACAAAACTGTCATGGTGGTGTCTGTAAAACTTTCTTATAGGTCATACATCAAACATTAAAACCCTCTGGTTAGGTTGTTGCAATAGCTTTCTTGTCAGTGGCAACCCTGAAATAATTGTCTATGAAGGAAAGTATGATTGTAAAGAATGAAACATTATCCCAAATGCAGAGGTGCTGCTTGAATGTTGCTACATAGGAATGGAAGTTAGGGGAAATTAAAGTTGTAATGTTTAAGTTCTTAACTAAACCTTATATTGTCATATTACATGTATTATAGATGTAGGTCAAAATAGGAAGCAGACTTAATTGTATCTGTGGCATCCTTAATGAAAATATCAGCCGTCTTGATCGTGTTGATGTTATTTAAAAAACTTAATAAATAAATCAAAATGGTTTTATAACAAAGTATTATATGTCCCTACCTAGAATTAGATATACAAATATATAGACTATGTTATCTGAGTTACCTTCCTTTATCAAGAATTTACTATAGTATCAATTAAAAAATTGTTTGTATTCTAAATGGTAAACAAAAGTTATTACAATACAATACCTTATTGATAGATTATTAAGTCTGGGATTTTTTTTAACACAAATCACTTAAAACAGATACTTGATTTTCACTTTTGCTGTTCAGGAGGTGTACGTGGTCCTTGATAGGTTGGAAAATGCACTTTCTGTTGTGCATTAAGAATAGCTTATGAACTGTTCAGCTAATCCTTTTTCAATTTTAATATTTTGTTATTTATGACAAAATGCTACCGGTAGTCAAGTTTGATATTGACAATTTTCACTTTTACTGTTCAGGACATTTGATCCTTGATAGATCATGAAGATTGGAAATGGAAAATATGCACAGAACGTAGCAGGTCAAATAAGCTTGAAATCTCCATACATTAGCAAGTATAGACTACATCAATTTCATTTGTACCATCTGCTCTCTAAGTTCAACTGTGGTTACCTTCAAAATACAAAAAACCTGGTTTGCTGTCTATTTGACAAGCTTATTTCTTGTTTTATACAGTTTTTGTCGAGCCTTCGACTTTTGTCGAAAAAGCGAGACATAGCGATCCTACATTCCGTCGGCGTCGTCGTCGTTGTCGTCGGCGGCGTCCACAAATATTCACTCTGTGGTTAAAGTTTTTGAAATTTTAATAACTTTCTTAAACTATCCTGGATTTCTACCAAACTTGGACAGAAGCTTGTTTATGATCATAAGATAATATTCAAAAGTAAATTTTGTAAAAAAAAAATTCCATTTTTTCCATATTTTACTTATAAATGGACTTAGTTTTTCTGCCAGGAAACATTACATTCACTCTGTGGTTAAAGTTTTTGAAATTTTAATAACTTTCTTAAACTATCCTGGATTTGTACCAAACTTGGACAGAAGCTTGTTTGTGATCATAAGATAGTATCCAGAAGTAAATTTTGTAAAAAAAAAAATTCCATTTTTTCCGTATTTTACTTATAAATGGACTTAGTTTTTCTGCCAGGAAACATTACATTCACTCTGTGGTTAAAGTTTTTGAAATTTTAATTACTTTCTTAAACTATCCTGGATTTGTACCAAACTTGGAAAGAAGCTTGTTTGTGATCATAAGATAGTATCTAGAAGTAAATTTTGTAAAAAAAAAATTCCATTTTTTCCGTATTTTACTTATAAATGGACTTAGTTTTTCTGCCAGTTAACATTACATTCACTCTGTGGTTAAAGTTTTTAAAATTTTAACAACTTTCTTAAACTATCCTGGATTTGTACCAAACTTGGACAGAAGCTTGTTTATGATTAAAAGCTAGTATCTAAAAGGAAATTTTGTTCAAATTTTTTCCGTATTTTACTTATAAATGGACTTAGTTTTTCTTCCAGTTACATAACAGTTTAAGTTTTTATTTAAAACATTTATTAGATTCATAAACTATCCTGGATTTTTACCAAACTTGGACAGAAGCTACTTACAATCAAAAGATAGTATAGAGAGGAATATTTTTATTAATTTTTTTCCTCATTTTTGTTGAGCCTGTGATAAACAGCAGAAGTAGGCGAGACACTAGGTTCCGCGGAACCCTTACGAATTTTGTTAATACATTATGAAATTTGTATCGCTATCCAGTTATTATTCCGCTACCTGGCTACTAGACGTTAGGATTGCACTCTGTTTGTCCGTCTGTTTACCACACTTTTTTCTTTGTGCATGAAGATATTGATTTGATTTTTGGTATATATTTTTATCATAACCAGTTACAGATCAAGTTAGAATTTTGTTCCGGAATTGTTAGAAATCACACTGTCGATCTGTCTATTAATCTTGTTGATACAACTCCTTTAGTGATACTTTATTTACAAGAAAAACTTTTCATATATTTTAGAATAAACAGATTTAGTGTTCAAGGCTCTGTGTTGAAGGCCTTACTTTGATGTATAATGGTTTACTTTTACAAATTGTGACTTGGATGGAGAGTTGTCTCATTGGCACTCATACCACATCTTCTTATATCTATTCAATATTTGCAGAAGGAGATATTTGGACTTAGTTTTTGTCTCACCTGCTAAGTAAGTCGCAGTATGTGAGACATAGGTATTACTATCCAGCGGCGGCAGCAGCATAAACTATTTGTATAAAGCTTTATATTTCAGAAGGTAGAAGACCTGGATGCTTCATACCTTGTATGCAGATACCTTATGTTAAGAAGTTTCCGTCTGTCATATGCTTATTGTCCTTGACCTCATTTTCATGGTTCAGTGTCTGCTTGAAAAAAAAATATGTTTTTTTTTGTCATGTGAATTTCTCACTTATTATGAGTAATACATGTAGGATAACTATATTTGGTATATGGGGGCCTTGCTGTCAGACAGGGTTAACCTGACCTCGACCTCAAGTGATGGATCAGTGATCAAGGTTAAAGTTACTTGATTAGGTCCTCTCTCAGATACTACAAGCAGCAGGTCAACTATATGTGGTGTATGGAATGATTATACATGTCAGACTGGCAGGTTTCATCTGACCTTGACCTCATTTCCATGGTTCATTGGTTAACATTGAGTTTTTGTGTTTTGGTCTGTTTTTCAAATACCATAAGCAATGGATCAGCTATAATTAGTTTATGGAATAATTGTAAGGTATATATGTCTGTGTGACAGTTTTTATCTGACCTTGACCTCATTGTCATGGATCTTTAAAGATGTTAAGTTTATGTGATACGTGTAGTAAAACCTTTATCTTTAAGACTTTCAACATAAAATCAATGGTCAGTAAAACAGGCGAGACATTTCAGCGTGTGCACTCTTGTTTTGAATATAGAAAATATTACAAATTAAAGATTAAGTTAGCATCTTGTTCCAGCATTTGTCAAGTACAATGAATTTTCAACCGATAGGGAACTATGTATTACCATGCGATACTCTCAGAATGCTTGTTAGTCCCCTACCAACAGAGTGTAAGCGGACTTTAGGTTTGCACTCCATCCGTCTGTCTGTCTGTTTGTCCATCCGTCAGTCCGGCAAATCAGTTTTCCACACTTTTTTTCTTCGTGCTTGAAGATATTGATTTGATATTTGGTGTATTGTTTTATCATGACAAGTTACAGATTAAGTTCAAATTTTGTTTTGGTCTGATGATTTTGTGCAGAGTTATGGTCCTTGGACTTAGAAAATTCACTTAAATAATCAGTTTTCCACAATTTTTTTCCTCATGCTTGAAGATATTGATTTGATAATTGGTATATAGTTTTATCTTGACAAGTAACAGATCAAGTTGGAATTTTGTTCCGGTCTGATGATTTTGTGCAGAATTATGGTCCTTGGACTTAGAAAATTCACTTAAATAATCAGTTTTCCATAATTTTTTTCCTCATGCTTGAAGATATTGATTTGATAATTAATATATAGTTTTATCTTGACAAGTAACAGATCAAGTTGGAATTTTGTTCCGGTCTGATGATTTTGTGCAGAGTTATGGTCCTTGGACTTAGAAAATTCACTTTAATAATCAGTTTTCCACACTTTTTTTCCTCATGCTTGAAGATATTGATTTGATAATTGGTATATAGTTTTATCGTGACAAGTAACAGATCAAGTTGGAATTTTGTTCCGGTCTGATGATTTTGTGCAGAGTTATGGTCCTTGGACTTAGAAAATTCACTTAAATAATCAGTTTTCCACATTTTTTTCGTCATGCTTGAAGATATTGACTTGATATTTGTTATAATGTTTACATCATGACAAATTATAGATCAAGTTAGTTTTTTGTTCCAGTACAATGAATTTTTAACACGGTAGCCAGGGGACTATGTATTGCCATGCAATACTTTCAGAATGCTTTTTAATATGTTAATACTATTATGGCCCTACAATTGTTGAAAAATACCTGTATATTTTTGCATGGCATAAGGTCATGCTTTTCTCAGGCTGATTATGAGATATTTACACATTATCTGTTGGCGATTTATGATACTGGTTGATATTTTAGCATCGGGAGAAAGTTTTGGAAAACATGGTCAATTTTTTTTTAATAGTTGAAATTGGGCTTTAAACTAGCTTTCAGTAACTATGAGTCTACATTAACGTAAAATCAAGGAGATAATTAGTAAAGTTGCTACATTTTCATTAATGGGATGACACAATTATTGTTTTAGCTATCCTAAATAGTAAATCAACATCCATGAAAAATAAGGATATCAAAGTGTCTGCTAGTATCGTTTGTATCGCTTGGTAGTACCACGTATCGAATATCAAAATGCTATGCACCAGTGAGCTCTAATCATCACTCCTTTGTTAATGGGTAACTGGTAAATGTGTTTTCTTTATGATTACCAAAGACTGTTGTTTGATCTGGTTTGACTTAGTAAATTCTTAATTAGATGAATTTACCTAATTAGGAAATTATCTATTATTTATGGTATACAGTTCCTTGGACAACTATCTAGTCCTAGATAATAGTGTAGAACTTTATACATCCATTAGGCAATGACCAACAAAACTTAAAATGTGCTTAATTGTGTTTCCATTTTGTAGATTTTTTTCCCAGCGAATACTTGAGTACTGCTAGGTACAACTAAAGAGTACCGGTACTCAATTAGTAATTCTTCACCAAATTGGCATCTCAAATGAAAAACATCAAATTTGGTGGAATTTCAGACAAAAGTTAGACTTTGAATTTCTCGTTGAAATAAAATTAAAGACAAATCTAATACTAAAATCATTGATTATTTGAACAAATTTGAGTAAATTACTGTGTCACACTCGCATAAATCAGGTCAGTTGACAGGTATGTGCTTGTTGTTTTTCGGGCTTCAAATACTGATTTGCAAGCCAACATTTGGAGTGAAACTTGTAAAAAAAGTCTATACATTTGTCATATATGAAGTTCCATAGGAAAAAAAGTCTATACATTTATCATATATGAAGCTCCATAAGGGGGGGGGGGGGGGGGGGGGGGGGGGGGGGGGGGGGGGGGGGGCTGGCCCCTTGCCCCCCCTAATTCCTCCCCTGTACATAACTACCCCATGTAAGGAGGAGTCCCCATCACTCACAAACATGGCAACCTGCCACATTCCTTATGTGCCGGTCCCAAGCTGGGAGCAATATATATAATCCAACGGTTGTCATTTGTCTCTTTCTGTCAAAAGAAAACAATAATCAATAGATGATGTCAATATTACACGTTTAAGTGGAATTAAGAGGATATTTGATTGTTGATCATTTATCTGAAAGAACAGTGCAATGTTATCAAAGTTTTGATGACAAAAATTTGCTTATTTTGTTGTGCAAGGATAAAAAGAGATAGGAAATTTTGAAAAGCTGAAAAGAAAGAGGAAGTATGGGTTGAGTATCAATAAGACAGCATTGTGTGACATCTTTTATCTCTATGTTGCAGCCAGTGTCTCACTGATATTTAATATCGCCAGACACCTTGCTTTATATTTGATACTTATATATATTTTAATCTTGCATATCCTTCATATGATTTTTGTCATGTATTTTAGGTTATAAATGGCTGTAGATCCCAGAAAAGCTTTGATAAAGAACAGGGTAGCCATTGTCCGTGACTTAGATAATGGAGATGATGTTGCAGATTACTTGTATACTGTCAAGTTATTTACTGAAGATATGAGAGATACTGTTCTGGTTAGTATTCATTCATTATGGTATTAGGTGATAGAAATATTATTTATTGCTATTTTGTGTATTTTTCCTTTGATTTTTTTTTGTGATAATTTTTCATATCATGCTACTTGCTTGATATTGAAAATTATCTTCAGAAAGTAAGGGCGCACATGACGATGTCAATGTAAACATCAACGAAGTCATAGGCAAAATAGCGATAAACGGATTATCAATGGTCTTTCAAACTCGAGGATGTTTCTCAGCCACATCTCATCTTAGGGCTGTCGCCGATCAATGAGATTGTAGCTGAGACACAGTCTCGTTTGAAAAACCATTGATAATCTATAAGTCTCTCAGTTAGATGTATTGACAATGATATTATTATTTAATTCCCACACAACAGTGTTGGTGGTATACAGAAATGAACTTAGCCACCTGTCCAGTTGTCATACAGACAGATAACATGCTAAACAGGGGCATCTTGGATAGAATCCATGACAATATACTATAAGATGAATGTCACTATCCATTTTTTCACCAGATGCACAAATTTCAACACTAGTTTATGGTATGATGATGCTATGTTGGGTGGTTCAGCTGTTTATTTTATGGTGATGTTGATTTTTTAACCAGTTTACAGTATGTTGATGCTTGATGGTTAACCAGTTTATAGTATGGTGATATTTGGTGGTTAACAAGTTTATTGTGCATAGGAGTTAAGTGGAAAACCAGTTAACAGTATGGTTAATGTTGGGTGGTTTGCCAGTTTACAGTATGGTGATATTGGGTGATGAACAAGTTAACAGTATGGTGATGTTTGATGGTTTATCAGTTTACAGTATAGTGATGTGGGGTGGTTAACCAGTTTACAGTACTATGGTGTTGGGTGGTTTGTCAGTTTATAGTATGGTTGATGTTGGGTGGTTAACCAGTTAATAGTATGTAGATGTTTGATGGTTAACTAGATTACAGTATAGAGATATTGGGTGGTTAACCAGTTAACAGTATGGTTATGGTAATATTTTGTGTTGAACCAGTTTACAGTATGGTATGCTGGTTGTCTAAGAAGTTTACAGTATGGTGATATTGGGTGATTTACCAGTTTATAGTTTGGTGATGTTAAGGTGGTACATAACACTACAGGGAGATAACTCCGTAAAAATCAGTTGAACGTTTTAATTACGTTCTATTGGTAGGTAAATATTAAGCTTCTCAATGATCAAAATTAGTGTTTGTCAAACTGCTATATATCCAATGAAATAAGTTACTATTATAAAAAGTTGGTCACATTTATAAGAAATACAGATAAAGAGTTCTTAGAATAACGCACTTATATTGACTTGAAATGGCATTATTTTCGGGGGATGACAAAGTGTGTCTGTTGTCTGTTTTGGACCCTTAATGACCGCCCTGCTTTCCCTTAATGTACAGAACATGAGTGCAAGTATGGAAATTATGAAGTTTAAAGTGATATAATGGAATAGGTAAATATTCATATAAGTTGGTCACAATTATATGAAATAAATACAGAGTTATTAAGAAAAAGGCACTTTTACAGACTAAAAATGGCATAAAGGGGGGATGACAAAGTTTGCTGGTTGTCGGTTTTGGTTGGTACAAAAATTCTAAATCTTAAACAGTGTTACCTAGTAATGTTCCTTGAATTATATGCACTTTTTCAGGGAAATTAAACGACACAATTTTTCTACATCTTTGATTTCTTTAAAAAAAATTGATCTTTAGCCATTTCAATTTGAGGTATTTTCTTGTACAATATTCTATTTTCAGCTCAAGATTTGGCTAAAACTTTTAAAATAGCCTTAAATTTCAGGTTAATTAGCTGAAACTGATTCCACTCCAACGAAATAATGTTAATTGTTAAGCAATTTTATTATTTTTTACTCCCAAAAAAGTAAAATGGCCATTAACCACTCTTTAAGCCTTGTATGGTTATATCTTTGATTTAAGGGGGGTTTTAAACTGAAAATGTGCGGAAACCCTTGGTTAGAATTCCAAGAATTTTTGATATTTTGCAGGTTATATCATTATGTTTCACCATAAAAAAAATCAAAGAAATTAAACGACAGCAAATTTTTGGTGTCACCTGTTGGGTACCACCTTAAGTGGTTAACCAGCTTATAGTATGGTGCTGTTTTATTAAGTGGTTATGCAGATTGCAGGCATGGAAAAGTGGGTAGCTATTTTTGAGTTTTTTACTATTATCTTTGAAACAGAATGATTGCCTACATATTGAAGTTGTGTACCTGTTATTATGGATTTGTGTGAGGAATACTTTCCTATATTTCAAGACTTGAGAACTGGCTTATTTATCAGTAAGATTTATGAAAAACAGTACCAATTTTGTGTAATAAACACCTACAGTTTTCAACACCCAGATCTTTAAACTTAATTGACAGATTGTACATGTGGTTAAGTTGTGCCTTTTATACTCTTCAAAACAAAGGAGTAGGGGCAATAAGGCCCTTATTTGGCCCAAGTATTACTGCAAATTTAAAAGTTATCATACATATTCTTAAATTTGTCTTAACCAGACTAAGGTACAAAGTTTTCAGAAAATAAACAAAAATTTCACATTAAACAAGCTACCATGGCAACATACCATGACGAAATTTGTATATTTTGTAAAATTTCTTGAATTTCCTTGTTTTTCATCAAATTCTAAGTATATAGATTGGCAAAGTATGTGCCAACCAGGAAACAACTTTATATTTGGTGAGATTATGTCAATAGTTATAATAAAGCTTCTCTTAAATCATTTTGTTGTTTCTTGGCTGCGCATGATGTTTCCGTAATGGAAATAACAATGGAAAATTGCACAAATTCTGTATTTTTCATCATTTTGATGAAAACGGTACATATTATGGCGTAATTATGACGTCATCAAATAAACTATCTTATGTTTTTCATTTATATTTCTTCACTCTATGTGTTTCTAAACATTAGGTGCCAATTTGAAATAGTTGTCAAACATTTTATTTTCTTAGGCCAAAACCAGGCCTTAATGCCCCTACTGCTTTGGAATGAAACTCATTAGTGGCATAGCTTGGCCCTTTTTTCTATTTAGGCAAATGATTTTAATCTTGGGAATCAATGCCTTACATTCCTTAGTGTGGAATGGATGATTAATGGCAAATCCACTTGGGCAAACCAGCGTGCAAATAGTTTTCAGCATTTCTACATTTTTATAGCAGGGGTTCGAATACGGCTGAGAGAAGAACAAAAATTTGCTAATGCAAAATTTGTAGATCTAACATTGTTGGGCTAAATTTAAGACAATTTAAATGTAAATTGTGGTGTAAGCTCTGTATAGCCACACATTATTAGATGGAGATCATCTGTCGTAAAGTTGTAACATATTAAGTCGTACATATATATATGTCTGTCTGTCGATCAAAGCATTATTTTAATATGTTATGTATTGTATTTTAAATAGCAAGAACCTGAAAAAGAAAAGAAAAATCGTTTAATACTTGATACACTTGGCCGCAGGGGCCAAAAGGCAGCAAAAGGTCTTCATGATGCATTCCTTGAGACTGAAAACAATGAATTAGCAAAACTGCTTGCACCTTACATCAGAGTGATTGAAAGTGAAGAAAACAGATTCAGTCCTAAAGGTTACATAGCATATTCTATACAATAAGTGCAGTAAATATTTTTTGTCCCCCGCGTAACATGTTGCGGGGGACATGGAAATACCAGGCGTCCGTCCGGTCTTGTTAGTGCTCTCACAGGTACAATTCATGCCAGATTTTTTTAAAAATTATACTAAAGGTTAATATCAGCAATATCTCAGAAAAATTCTATAATGGTGGCCGATCGACTTTTTTATACAACCACAAATAATTTTTGCGGTCGTATATTGGTATCACGTCGTGGTCGTCGTCGTCTGAAGACACTTGGTTTCCGGACAATAACTTTAGTATTAGTTAATAGAAATCTATGAAATTTAAATACAAGGTTTGAAACCACAAAAGGAAGGTTGGGATTGATTTTGGGGGTTATGGTCCTAACAGTTTAGGAATTAGGGGCCAAATAAGCATTTTTCTAGTTTTCAGACAATAACTTGTGGAACGGTGTATGGATCTCTCTGAAATTGTACAACAAGTTTCCATACCTCAAAGGGATGGTTAGAATTGGCTTTCGAGGTTAATGGCTCAAACCGTTTAGGAATTAGGGGCAAAAAAGGGGGAAAAACAAGGGTTTCCTTGTTAATGGACAATCACTTTTAAGTACAATGTTAAATTTGGGTTTCCTCCCTTACACTGCTTTAAAATTATGTATAAAGAAATTTTTTTAGACATGATTATGTATGTCATTTTCTATTTTAATACTTTTATGATGTATTTATATTGGTAATTATGGTTGCAAACTCCATTGGAAATTTGAATTGAGATAATGACCATATCTTGAGGGAAATATTTTTTTTTTGAAAAACGGGAGGTGTTAAAACGAAAGAAATTGTAGGGGGGGGGACAATATTTTTTTCTCATTACAGATTTCAGAAATTAAAAAGAAAATTTCTTCAAATGTTTTTTTTTTTTTGTGAAAAAAAATTGCATAGTGTATTACACAACAGCAAAAAATTGAATTTAAATTCAAATCATATAACCAATTCTAAGTTCTTTGACTACAGTTATTCTGTGTCAGAAACCTATTATGTGTCAAACATTTAATTTCAATCCAAATTTAGACCTGTATCAAGCAGGAATATTGTGTCCATTTTTTGCCCCAACTGTTCAGGTTTGGACCTCTGTGGTCGTATCCAGCTGCGCTGGGTGAAGCAATTTATTTAAAAGAGTTATGCCCCTTGGAAATATTAAATTTATTAAAAATGGCCTCGTTAGCACTCCAAAAAAAAAAGTGTTTTATTTAGTTATTGCCCTTGTACCTTGGTTAGATAAAATATGTGCAATGCGGGGGACATCGGAAATCTGTTCTTTTATCTTTCATAGAAATATTATTTTTATATCATTAATTTTGGGAAATTTTGCTACCAACAAAATACAAATCTTTAGAACAAAACTATAAAGATTTGGACCAATAAAAAAAGTGCTTCCGTTATTAGGGTAAATTTATGTAATCTTAGAGTAAAGATTGCATTCATGAAATCTATGAGTAAAGATTGCAGGAATACAATCTAAACCTATATGTGGCTGGCTGAATAGTGATCAGTTTTCCAGACTATCACTACTTTTGAGAGAATCGACAGAGTGCATTGGGCACAACATTCTATACAATCAAGAAATTATCAATGAAATATATACTCAGATATTCAAATTCAAAATGATGTGTATGTGTTTGACCATACTTGTCAAGAAAATTATATTATTTGTGCATGGTGCATGAATCCAGCAAAAAACAATTGATGTCATTGTTAAAGTCAGGTTTGAAATTGGAGTTATCTTCCTTTGTCCATCATTGCAGTTTAACTAATTTCAATGCTTTTTTACAATTCAATGTTTAGTTCCCACTGCACAATGAACACAATCTTTACCATTCATTGCCTCCTATTACAATAAATCACATTCCATAAAATATTTTATCACAATCAAAGCAAACTTTCTTTGAAAGTTAAAGAATTAGTGGGATGTGGTGTCAATAGACTAAAATGTTTAGCACAATGATAGAGTTTGATCCCAAAGAGTCCTTAATTGTATTGTTGATAACCAAAACTTATGGTAAACTTCCTTAACCGAAAACTTTAACCTGATATGTGACAGATCTAGATAGAGGGATGCATAGACTAGAAAACATTATGCCCCTCTACTTTTGTAGGCTGGGTATGAATGTATACAAAAGGACTTGGTTCACTTTAGGCCAAATATGGCCTTGAATTTCAACTTTATCATAAAATTTAAAAATTGGCATAATTTGGTTCTTAAATGGATTTATTCCAAAAGTCTTACTTATTTGTTGAAATAAATCTCTTCTTAAGAGTACATTCTTGACTTCCAAATTAGCACATTTTGGATATATTGTCAAAGTACGATGATTTTGTGCATTTTTCGGACCTATAAGCTTGAAGAAATCCTTGGCCGCAACCTTTGATCCAAAATGTTCTGTAACCAAAAGTTGCCAATGATGATATTGAATCTCTTGACACTAAAACTTTCTGGATCATGGGTGGCATCTAAAGTAAATTATCCTGAAAAGTGTTAAGAATTATTGAAAATTTGACCAAAACTGATGCTACAACACAAATAATGCATACTTAAGGAGACAGCAGTTCGTCATTTCTAATGTGATGTGCCAAAATAAAGTTATTTTGTATAAATAGTATAAATAATATCGCAACTATTTCTATGTGAAATTTGTAGTATTTTGTCCTGATCATCAAAATCATCAAAATATTAGGGCCAATTTTAACCATTCGTGAACCTACTCCTTTCAAAACATGCCAATAAGTTGTCATATATTTTTGAAATTTCAATCCGGTTTCAAAGTGAAACAATACAATAGTGTGCAGGTTTACTCAGTAATGTTATCAGAAATATTTCACAAAGTCACCAAAATTAATATTGTTTAACTAGTATGATATATTTTGTATTCTTTCGAACAATGTTCCTTGATAAAAATAAGCACTTCTGATTTGTGTGTCAGTAGGTGTAAGCTCAAGGAAAACAACATAAATACATGGTTTCAGAGATTATATTTATATTGTAAACTGTCATTTCCTGATTTGCGTTTAAGTGAAAAGTTACTGTTGAATTCATTTACAACTAAAATAGATTGTTGTCAATCAAGCACCATCAAGTTGTATAAATGATTAGTTCTTGAACTATATTTGTATTTTAGAATGGCCCCCTATAAATGAAGAACAAAATAAGATGCAGAAAGATTCAGTTAGAAGAATTACAGATTTAAAAAGTCCATCATACATTCATGAGTACACTGATAAACAGGTATTTATATAGTACAGCTTATAATTTTTTATTATAAATAGATAAATGAAATTTCAGAAAGGCAATTTTCAGCCAGTTTCATGTTTGCACACATGTCAGTTTGTTAAAAAGAAGACAGAATAACAACATATTTAATAATATACAAAACAACATACATTTGGTATGTGCATGTCCCAAGTCAGGAGCCTATAATACATTTGTTGTTTTTGGTTGTCTGTCATATTTGTTTTTTGTTTTTTGTTTGGGGAAGAAGACTTTTAAGTCTTCTGAAATCCTATACTTCTGGCTGTATAGTATGCCTGTGTGAGTTATTGAATAAAATTTGGTACAAGATGTGTATTGATGTCAAAGTTGATTCCCACACTTTTTAGCTCTACTGGTTCGGAGGGCCGTCGTCGTAGTCGTTGTCCGTCATCTGAATCTTTTACAAAGATCATCTCCTCTAAAACTACTGGGCAAAATTTAACCAATTCTTGCCACAATTATCAATGGGGTATCTAGTTTGAAAAATATATCCAATGACCCCACCTCCCAACGAACATGGCGGACATGGTTAAAAATAGAACATAAGGGAAAATGCTATTTTTCTATTATCTTGGAAACCCCTATAGATAGAGAAAATCCGACAGACGAAAAAATGTTTACAATGATCACATCTACCTATTGACTATTGACATCAAAACTGTCAGACAACTTATTGGAGTTATTGCCCTTTAATAATGATTTTTATACTTTTTTTGTGTTTTTTGCATAAAGCGGAAAAAATATAATAGATAATATTATAGATAGATAGAAACTGAAATTAGCAAAAAATATTAGTAAGACAAGATCTACAAATAAGTCGTCTGAATTGTCGAAATCGTCCGAGGACTCCTAATGAGAGTAATTCCCCTTTAATGACGATTTTGATGGATTTTTTTGTGTTTTTGCCTAAATTAGCAAAAATGATCAGCAATACAAGATCTACAAATAATTCAGATGGTTGAAATTGTCTGACAACCCCTTTTTGGAGTTTTTTTCCCTTTCATGACGAATTTGACCAATTTTTTGTGTTTTTGCCTAATATCTGAAAAACTATAATAGCAAAAATAATCAGCAAGACAAGATCTACTAATAAGTCTACGGGCTGAAATCTTCATCTCGCTCCTTATTGGAGTTATTGCTCTTTAATGACTAGTTTTACACATTTTTAGTGTTCTGTCTCTTATTTTTAACTATTACAGATAGATAGCAACTTTAAATAGCAAAAATTAAAAACAAGACAAAATCTACAAAAAAGCCAAATTTTTGGGAAATTGTTAGTTGACTCTTAATAGGAGTGATTGTCATCAAATGACAATATTTTTGTACCCTCTTTTAGCTTACCTGGCCTAAAAGGGCCAAGTGAGCTTTTCTCATCACTTGGTATCCGTTTTCTGTCGTCGTCTATTAACTTTTACAAAAATCTTTTCTTCTGAAACTATTGGACCAAATATAACCAAACTTGGCCAAAATCATCATTAGGGTATCTAGTTTAAATAATGTGTACGATGATCCCGCCTGCCAACCAAGATGGTCGACATGGCAAAAAATAGAACATGGGGTAAAATGTAAATTTTGTCTAATATTTTGAAAACCTGATAAATTGAGAAAATCTGAAAGCGGCAAAAATGTTCAGAATGTTGAGCTCTACCAATTGTCTAATCACGTTAAAACTGTTAGGGGACTTCTTATAGGAGTTATTGCCCTTAAATGACAAATTTCACCATTTTTGTTTCATTTTTGCCTTTTATCTTGAAAACTATAATGGATACAGAGAAACTTTAAATTGCAAAAAATTATTAGCAAGACAAGATCTACAAATAAGTCTCATGGTCGAAATCGTCAGTCAACTCCTTATTAGAGCTTTTGCCCTTTGATGATGTTTTTACCAATTTTTTTGTATTTTTGCCTTATATCTTAAAAAATATAGTAGATAGATAAAAACTTAAATTAGTAGGCAAAAATGATCAGCAAGACAAGATCTACAATTAAGACTATATGGAGGAAATTGTCCAATGACTTACCTTATTGGAGTTATTGCCTTTTAATGTAAATTTTTACCATTTTTTTGCGTTTTGCCTTGTATGATAAAAATTATAATAGATAAATAGAAACTTTTAATAACAAAAATGATCAGCAAGGCAAGATCTACAAACAAGTAAAATTTTGCAGATATGGTTAGTAGATTGCCACTCTTTATTGGAGTGATTGCACTTAAATAAGGATTTTTTTTTACCCTCTTTTGTGTATCGATCAAAAACTAAAGAAGAGAGAGAAACTAAACAGACAAAAGGATCAGCAATACAAGATCAACTTAAAAGAGATTTTTGTCATGAATTCTATTCTCGTCTACAATGAGAGTGTCCCAAATGAGAGTGTCCTTTGTTCAATGAATATGTACAAAGACCTAAGTGAGCAACACAGGCTCAGAGCCTCTAGTTTGTGTTTTGGGCAAAAACTAAAGAAGATAGAGAGAAACTGTAAACAGAACATATGATCAGCAATTCAAGATCAACAAAAAGAGATTTTTGTCTTGAATTTTATTCTTAGTCCACAATGTTGGAGAGTGTCCATTGTTGAAGATGCACATAGACCTAGGTGATCGTCAATGGCTCTTTAGAGCCTCCAGTTGTATTTATTCAACATCTCTCTTTAACTATATGTCATTGTGGGTTTTTTTTTGCAGTATTCACTTCTGAAAGCTTTTATGTTTTTTTAAAAGATGTTTAAAATGTTTTGTGCTATATTGATCCCAAAGAGTCCTTAATTGTATTGTTGTTAAAAATTATTGGAGTAATTTTTGGTTTTCCAAGTTCTGACATTCAGTATGATCTCCTGCTCAGGACATTTTCCTTAATATCAGTGTAATAACCTTATCAGCCTTCTTAGGCAAGAAGAATTTTAATTTCAAGTGTCATATGGTAAATGCTTACAAGAAGATCACAAAATATGACAGATGAGAGCTAAAAAAAGTAGGACATGAAGGCTGTTTTATATGCTCCTCATCAAGGACTAACATATTTATAACAGTATAAGAATGTCCCTCTGTTTCTCAAGCATTTTATTTTGATTACTCTGAGTAATACTTTAGTACTTAAGTATTTTAATTGGCAATCCTTATTTATACCGGGGTATATAAAGATATTCTTTTGAAAAAAATTTTGTATTAATATTGTGAAAATTATTGTTTTATATAAAATATATTTTCTAGTATTAAATTAGCTGTCTAAATGCTTTTGTCCTGAGAGGATTAGTTTATTTGGAAAATGATGAAAGTACTTCATAATATTTCAGGTGTATGAGATAAGAAATAAAACCAGAGGCAAAGTTTTTATAATAAATAATGTGAAATTTCAAGTTAACAAGTTAAGTCACAGGCATGGATCTGAAGTGGATGCTGAAAATATTAAGAGTCTGTTTACAGAATTGCACTTTGATGTTGTTCAGAAAGACAATTTGACAGGACAGGTATTACAGTATTTTTTTGAATTATGTCTTAATGTATTATACCAAAAAAATTGATTGTCTATTTATGTATGTCATTTTTGTCTCTCCTTTGAAGAAATTCCTAGGATGCAAAACATAGGGAATACAATCCAGCCATGGTAGCATAAACTAAAATGGATGTTTCATACCTTGTATGCAGATGCCTTATGTTATAAAATCATATGTCTGTTGTCCCTGACCTCATTTTCACGGTTCAGCGACTGCTTGAAATTTTTTTTTTTTATGTCATGTGAATTTCTCACTTATTTTGTGTAATATGATAAATATATTTGGTACAAGGGTTTCTTGTAAGGTCTTCCAGACAGGGTTAACCTGACCTCCACATAATTTCATGGATCACTGATTAAGGTTAAAGGTACATGAGTATGTCAATATCTCAGGTACTATAACCAGTGGGTTAACTATATGTGGTGTATGAATAATTGTAAGGTGTACATGTCAATCTGGTAGGTTTCATCTGACTCATAGTTCATTGGTCAATGTCAAGTTTCTATAGTTTGATCCTCATCTCAGATACTATTAAAAATAGGTCAACTATATTTGGCACATGGAATGATTGTAAGGTATACATGTTTGTCTGGCAAGTATCATTTGACCTTGACATCATTTTCATGGTTCAATGGTCAATGATAACTTTTCTTGGTTAATTCTGTTTCTCAGATACTATAAGCAATAGGTCAACTATATTTGGTGCATTGAATAATTGTTAGGTGTATATGTCTGTCTGGCATGTATCATCTGACCATGACCTCATTATCATGGTTTATAGGTAAATGTTAAATTTCATGGTTTGGTCTATTTTTTGGATACTATAAGCAATACGTTAACTATATTTGGTGTATTGAATGATTTGAAGATGTAAATTTTTGTCTGGATAGGTTTATATGACCTTGACCTCATTGTCATGAATCATTGATTATTTTGAGGTTATGTGATACTTGTAGTTAAACTTTCATATTTAAGACTTTCAACTTAAAAATTTATCATAGTCAGTAAATCTGGCAAGACCTTTCAGTGTGTGCACTCTTGTAAATTATACTTTATAAGAGGAGCGAAAGATACCAGAGGAACATTCAAACTCATAAATCGAAAATAAACTGACAACGCCATGGCTAAAAAAGAAAAGGACAAACAGACAAACAATAGTACACAAAACACAACATAAAAAACTAAAGACTAAGCAACACAAACCCCACCAAAAACTGGGGGTGATCTCAGGTGCTCCGGAAGTGTAAGCAGATCCTGCTCCACATAGTAAATTTCCATTAACACATATGGGCAATTATTTGGTATTTGAACCGTTTGCAATAACAATAGAAAAGTGATAAATTTGTGTATTTAGGTGAGCGAAGTTGTTACTCCACCTTAAAATGGCATTATTTTTATCTAAATATCGATATCTTCTACTTTCCTCTAGAGAGAATTTGAAATAAACAAATTATAAAGATTATGCAGCCGCTTTTGTGTGTCGTTTTTTATCGTTTTTTTTTGCTTCCGAAGTGCGTAACGCTGCCCGATTTAAAGATGATTGTCGCCTGCAAAATCATAACTTTTGCTTTCAAATAATGAAGAACATCAACTATTAGTCAGAAGAAATTGCCGAGAACTGTAAGTATTTCTGTAGCAGGTGTAAGAAAAGTAGCGTTACTTTGGTTTTCAATTTCATAACGCCATTTTTAGCTGGTATAATCTGCTTTGTTGTAATTGTATTCTTCACAACAATATGCAAATATGAACTCTCACGAGATGTTCAAACAGGTAAATCAGTGATTATTTACATTCTAGTTTTGTTCTTCGTAATAATTAAGTTAGAAAAAGACATTATCGTTAAGCCTTACATTTCACACGAAACAGAAGTCTAGTTATTTACTTTTTAGTTCACCTGGCTCGAAGGGCCAAGTGAGCTTTTCTCATCACTTGGCGTCCGTCGTCTGTCATCCTTCGTCTTCGTCTGTTGTCATCCGTTGTTGTCATTAACTTTTTACATTTTGAACTTCTAGAGAACCACTGAATGAAATGAAACCAAACATGGCATGAATGTTCCTTATGAGGTGCTGACCAAATGTTGTTACTTTGTAGCCAATCCATTATCCAAGATGACTGCCAGCGGGGGACTTCATTTAACATAGGACCCTATGGACAATTCATACAAATGTTTTCTTTTAGAGAACCACTGAATGGAATGAAACCAAACATGGCATGAATGTTCCTTATGAGATGCTGACCAAGAGTTGTTACTTTGAAGCCTATCCATCATCCAAGATGGCTGGTAGCGGGGGGACTTCGTTTAACATAGGACCCTACGGACAATACATACAAATGTCTTCTTTTAGAGAACCACTGAATGGTATGAAACCAAACATGGCATGAATGTTCTTTATGAGGTGCTGACCAAGTGTTGTTACTTTGAAGCCGATCCATCATTCAAGATGGCCGCCAGAGAGGGACTTAGTTTAACATAGGACCTTATGGGAAATACATACAAATGTCTTCTTTTAGAGAACCACTCAATGGAATGAAATAAAACATGGCATGAATGTTCCTTATGAGGTGCTGACAAAGTGTTGTAAATTTGTAGGCGATCAATCATCCAAAATGGCCGTCAGCGGGGACTTAGTTTAACATAGGACCCTATGGGAAATACATATAAATGTTTTCTTTTAGAGAAATACTCAATGGAATGAAACCAAACATGGCATGAATGTTCCTAATGAGGTGCTGACCAAGTGTTGTTACTTTGTAGCCAATTAATCATCCAAGATGGCTGCCAGTGGGGAACTTAGTTTAACAAAGGACCCTATGTGAAATACATACAAAAGTCTTCTTTTGAAGAACCACTGAATGGAATGAAACCAAACATGGTATGAATGTTTCTTTTGAGGTGCTGACCAAGTGTTGTTACTTTGCAGCTGATTTATCATTGTCCCTATAAAGTCATTTTCTACAATTTCAATGAATTTATTGGCAATTTCTGTAAACTTTACAAAAGTCTTCTGCTTTTGATTAAATTACGGGGCCAATATATATTAAACCAAATTTGGCCTCAATCATTATTAGGGTATCTGTTATGATTTTAATATATTTTTACATGATTTCCAAAACCAAAGTAGAATCAGGTGAGCGACACAGGCTCTTGAGAATCTCTAGTTTTTATTAAAATTGTTTTTGTCGTTAAGTCCAAATCATTTCCAGTCATATATGAAACATGTGGCTAACGTGATTAAGCGTTTACGGCCGGATACATATGAAATATTAGGTCTAAACATTGTTTTTGTTTCCAACGGGATAGTAGCAAGCATATTCTGTAGACCCTTTTCATATTATTTAAAAAAGGAAAATACAATTTTCAAAGAGATTGTGCTGGGTGTCTATTATCTTTCCTACGTGCATAATGTTACATACGATCTCGAATGAAAATAAATTCCCAATGACTTGACGAAATCGATTTCAGATTTGAGGGACGTTAACACACTTTGGATTTCTGGATAACAAAGAAAAGGGTCCATGGAAAATTCAATAGACATTATGTCTCTTATCATTCTGCCGATGCTTGTTGAATTGATAATGCCTCAGCAGTAAATTGTACTTGATAATTTAGGTATGTTGATGTACCGTTACACTTGGAATGTACAAGGTTGGTATCTTTGTCACAATTTTTTTTTTAGTTTTAATCATGTTCTGCAAACACTTTTCAGAAATGCAATAATATTGTCAAAGGAGAAGTAAACTTATACCATCTACATGGTGTACAGGTCACAAATATTGCATGATGCCTATTTTAAGATTTTAATTCCAAGTCAAAAGTTTTTTACTTTACTGGATTAATAGGAATTTGACATTGGAATTAATTGTATAAAACTGGAATTTCAAAACCAATAAATACATTTTTTGGCTAAAACATCAAGATACAACGATTACGGTTTCCTGTATCAATACAGAAAACGTGTAAATTTCTGAATAAATTGCACTCAATTTTTCAAAACAAACACATATTTAGGAGTTTTTTAGTAATACTGTTACATTTAAGACTGATTTTAACCAGAGATGCAAATCTAAATGCATAAGTATGCCAGTAGTAAATCAATACATGGAAACCGCCAATGTTGTTTCCAGTTCAGTTGTATGCATCACAAGTTCATAGCTTTTCCTTCTTTGGTGCGTATTGATTTCAAAAAGTGTTATTTCCCTTCTGGTAAGTAGTGCTGGTTCACCGCCTGCATGGGCAATATGTCAAAACACTTTTCTTTTCAACTTAAAAGTAAAATTTTGCTTTGAAAATATGTTCACCTATATCAAATTTGTCATAAAACATTGCATGAAATAACATGTCACTTTAATGTTGACATGTAAAATAAGCCTTTTACAGTTGCTGAAAGGAACTTTTGACTTGAGATTGGTCATAATTTGTATCGAATGATAAGAAGTTACGATCAAACTTAGGACTTGTGACTTTTAGAGAAACGAGCCAAATAACAACTTTCCTATTTCCTGCTTTCTTATTTTTAATCAGATTTATATATTTGTGGTCACAAATTTGGGAAAGAAATTTAGTTAAATAAATCATGCTCTTCATTTGGTAAATGAGGTTTTCTGTTATGTTTCTGTAACCCATGGTTCCTGTAATTTTCCAGCAGTTGTAATGAATGGGTGTTAACAATTATAGGCTTTCATTGAATTTCTATACACCCGCAAAATAAAGTGTTTTGTATATGGAATCTTGTCTGCAATCTTTAAATACACTATATTCGACACCTCAAACAGGGATAAAGGTAAACAATTCTAAATTATGTTTGTGTCTCTAATTTTGATATTCTTTTTATGATCGTCTATACCATTTGCAATTTGGTATGCAGCTACAGCATGTTTGGTTGTTGCAGTTGGGTCACTTTCTGTTATATAATTAGGTGGGGGCCTATACTATGAACACATATCTTCTACCTCAATATGAAATTTATTGTATC